GCGACAGTAAATGTTTGTTTGTTTTTAATTTTTTATTACAGCAGGCCACTTTGCTGAACAATGCATTAGAACCCCCCCCACACACACACACACATACACAAAACAAAAACATAAAGGGTGTTTCTAGAAAGCGATAGGTAATATGTGAAACAGCACTATGGCATGCTTCCAGGAAAACAAATCCCACTCAGGGTTTAATTGTTTGTTAGCAGAGCATGTGGCTCTGTGATTGGGCAAGTAGATAATGAATAATAATGATGATGATGAATCATTAATAAAAATAATAATAATGTAGTATAAAATAATTCACCTAAAATCTTGAATTCTGTCAAGAATTTTCAAACTCACATTCGGAGAGATTAAAATGTGAAGCAGCAGACTAGTGCCAGGCCTTGGTTAAGAGCGCTCTTGAAGCCAGGCAGCCATGTGTGAGAAACTCCCCCCAGCCCAGTGTCACCACCTAGTGAATCACTTCAGCTGGGGGACTCCTCAGTTCCTCAGCAGCAGAGAGATTGATGGGACTAGTCCTTGCTGAGACAATTTTAAACTTCAGTTTGTTACTAGGGGTGAAGTGCTCAGTACAGTTCTTGGGACCCGTAAAGAGGACCTGCTATCGCTGTCACTACTACCCCATCAGCATCTATGGCTGTGTAAGTATGTAGGAGAACTAGCCCCACATCTGCTGACCTCTGCTTCTGGATTGATTTTTTTTCTCAGCACATACCTCATCATTTTACTTACATTGTTGTGACTTAAATGATGACTTGCAAACATTACTTAGGAGACCTCTGGCCTTTCTGTGTTTTTGAACACTGTGTAGATTAATTGGGCTTTAACATAGCTGCAACAGATGTTCAGTTAAATCAGACAAGAACTGGAAATTCCAGATAAGGTCTACTTAAACCTTTGTAAACATATATACGTGGTCGACCATACATGGTCATAGATACTCTTAGAGTACCCAGTTAGTTACATGAGAAACTGTCTGTTTCCCATGGAGTCTGTATTAATATAACCTGTAAGTGGGTCTAAAGTTCTATGTAAAAATTAACATTTCAACCTTTGTATTTACTGAGGTTGAGTCTGTTAAATCATCTCCTCCCAGTCCCTGGTGTGTAGCTGGAGAGTTTCTCTTTGGGTCCTGCCAATCCCCGCAGTCCCACAGCCCACTTATAAAATAAACACACAGACGCTTATATTATTTAAACTGTTTGGCCTAATGGCTCAGGCTTCTTGCTATGTAGTTCTTATATCTTAAATTAATCCATATCTATTTGTCTATAAGTTGCCACGTGGCTTGTATAGCTCACTGGTACTTTACATCTTGCTTTTCATGGCAGCGGCTCGCAGCATCTCTCTGCCTCAACCTTCCACCTCCCAGAATTCTCCTCCTCTTGTCCTGCCTACGCTATCCTTCCTGCCTGACTACTGGCCAAACAACATTTTATTTATCAATCAATCATAGCAACATATATTTACAGCATACAGGACACCCCACAGCACTGGTGGGACCCAGAAGTAGCAGTATACTAGGGAAATAATATAATCTGAGAAGTGAAGACTTCTGCTGCTGCAAGGGGCTGGCTATTTTGTAGACTATTTCATCCTTAAAGTGCTGATGTGTGCATGAGACTTAGTGTTTTGGGTTTAAAGGACAGCCTCCAGTCCTTACACTCCATGGCCTCAAGATTATTGTCTAAATTTGCTGCTAGCCCAAGCAAGCCTAGAGAAGCAAGTTCCAGAGAAAGAGGAGAAATATAATTTAAATCCCTAAACTAAATTCCTTAAAAGTCTTTGGAAAATTTATTTTTTCTGCCTCAGTGCACAGTCACATTAATCAACTAATGGAAATTTGTATGCAATTTTGTTTCCCATTATAAAGTGATTTAGGGATGTTGTGTGATTTTTAACCATTTTCATATTCTCATGTATGCATTTTCTCCAAAACTGGAAGAAAAAGATTCTTGTTGATTTGAAGCCTAATAAACAGTGGGGAAAAGTCACTGTAAAGTACACACAGGGTCTGGGCTATTGTCCCGACTGTTTTGTCCTTGGCAAGTGACATGTCAGTATTGTGAAGTTATGATACTGCTCATTGGTGCAATTATCATTGTCAGAGCACATCTTGGTTTCAGGGCTTGAGATGTATTAGTGAGATAATGAGATGGTGAGTCTTGGTTTGTTTTCACTGAGTATTGATCAAATACATGACTGATGCTATAAAAGATGAGCAGGTTTGATTACCCCATGATGCATTTCTCAGGAGCAAATAAACCATAATTTTAATTGAAATTCTTTCTTGCAAAAGAACCTTATGTTGTTATTTGAAAATCCTGTATGAATAGCATTTGTACATTTCTGGGAATGATGGCATGAATTCATAGGACACAAAATTATTTAACTTGCTACTCAGGAAAAGTTCATTGGAGCAAAATTCACATACTCTCTTTAAAGGCAAATAATTAGAACATATGGGCATTTTGCTTTATGGATTATGTTAAATGATGTGAAATTAAAGCTTCTGCTTTATTTTACTCTGTTGAGATTTTCAACTCTGTGCACTGTTGTTGTGTCTGCTGTAACCTCCCTTCCCTTGAGGTGCACTGTGGGAGGAAGGTGTGCCCAGCACAGGTTGTTATATGTGCCCATCCACTATCCTGAATGAAACAACAAACCAAAGCAGCGCAAAGTTTCGTGTTCCTAGTAGGTCAGTGATTAACAGAGGCATTGCTCTTCTACCTTGCTCACTCTCTCCATTATGGTCTTCGCTGAGGACCAGGACTAAAGTGTTGTCGAATATTATTTTAAGGTGTGTTACTTTTGTTTATTTTGCATTTGTTTAACTCTGTGAAGCTGTGTTACTGTGCCTGTCTAAAACACATGATGGTCTAATAAAGAACTGAACAGCCAATGGCAAGGCAGGAGAAAGGATAGGCAGGGCTGGCAGGCAGAGAGAATTTATAGAAGGAGAAATCTGGGAAGGGGGATTAAAAAGGAGAAGCCAGAGAAGGAGGAGGACATCAAGGGCCAGCCACCCAGCAGCACAAACAGCAACGGAGTAAGATTTACAGAAGTTGGAGAATGGGAAAAGCCCAGAGGCAAAAGGTAGATGAAATAAGTTAAGGAAAGCCGGCAAGAAACTAAGCCAAGCTAAGACCAGGCATTCATAATTAAGAATAAGCTCCTGTGTGTGATTTATTTGGTAGCTGGGTGGCAGCCCCCACACCCCAAAAGAGCAAAAACCTCCAACAGTACTAAATCATTTAGCCAAAACTCATCTCTGCTCTTCCAGTGAAGACCTCTTTTCTCTTCTCCATGGTTAGCCCCCATGGATCACTACCCCAAAGTTTCTCACTTCACTTCCAAAAGCTTTTCCAGAACTCTGCCTGCCCCTTGTCTAGAATGTAGAGACCAGCTCTTGACTCTATTGTGCCTGGCAGCTTCTACCACTGCAGTCAGGGTAGTGGACTTCTGGTACCCTGAAGGAAAGGGAATGTGTCTCTCCACAGAGGCAGCATCATTCTGGTGATGAAGCTTATAATACCATCAAAATAGGTTACATGGTCTTCTTTTGCAGGCTGTTGAAAACATAACTGCCTGATGTATATATACTGTTGCCTTGGGACTATGTTTTGGGTTAAAAGAAAAAGAGTTGTGCTTGTGTTTTTGTGAAACCTTTCATGGTAAGGTTGGGACCGGATAGAAACATAATTTAAAATGGTATCCATCCTCATGTTGTTCCAAAGGGAGAGAGGAAAGGCAGAGACCTTGAATGACAAGGATCATGGGAACCAATACTCCTGAAACTAGGCATGTTATAGTTGTCAGAGAATGGCCCTTGTGACATTTAGGATTTCATTGGAAAGAGAATGCCATGTTTAAGGACAATCAGGAATCTTGTGAGCTCTCACTTACCGGAAATGACATTGTTATTTTAAGAAGCAAAGAGAGCATTAAGGATGTTCCATGACTGTCCTGTAGGCTGTATGTTTTATTACTCTGCATGAATGAAGAGCTGGCTTCCCACCATGCTGCAAAGAAACATGAAGACATTGGTATTGCCAAGTTCTGCCTCCTCCAACACTGTTCCTACACCAGCCATCTCAAACACACTCAAGGGAAACTAGAAAACGCATGCTCACTTCTCGGTGAAGGTTTAAATTCCCAAAGTGAATATTAAGTTTGAGTTTAAAATTTTTTTCCCAAAATAAAAAGTGTAAACTCTTGTAAGAATTCAATATAAGTAAAATAGAAGAAAATAAAGCCAAATTGTGCATGCATAATGTGATTAAATTTTAAGGCCCGGACTTGCCCATCCTCCCCTCATTCCTTATAATGCACCCCATGTTAACAGCACCAATCCTAACACCACACCTTTCTCTTTGTTCTCCTCCTGAGCATTGCTGTGATGGCAAAGATAACTAGTCAGCAGGGACTGTATCAGACCAGGGTGAATCCTACATTGTATGAACAGCTATTAATATTTTAAACACTGTCTGCTCTCTGGCACTGTGGTATTACATCATTATTTATACAACGGAATCTGTCACTGATCTGAAGATTTTGAGTGTTTTAGTATGCCAGTCATGAAGTGGGAGATATAATTATATTAATGCAATTAAAATGTACAAAAAGGTGAAGGGTTTTTTTTTTTACATTATTTCAGATGTTTCTGATATTGTCTGATCTAAAAATAACTACTTGATTAATTTGCTTCATAAGAAATATCTCTATGTAGGTCAGGATGAGATCATTTGAAAAATCTACTCCTCTGAGAACTTTTATGCCACACACACACACACACACACACACACACACACACACACACACACAAAATCTCATCTGGAGCTGCATTATATGGTCATTTTAGTTCTCAGAATTCAAAGCATAGATGGCTGGAATGTCCATGTGATAATTCTAGGCTACTCTCAATAAATAATACATGTCATTTCTGCTTCACCGAGACTGTCACTGACTGCTCTAAATGACTTTCAATGCAGGGCCCAGCCTGCTCTCCCAGAGTGCACTTCAGCTCAATTCCAAACCTGAAGGGTCTTTCCAGTATCCGGCCAGCTACCATAGCAACCAGACCCTGGCCCTGGGTGACACAGCCCCTTCTCAGCTCCCAGCACGCAGCACACAAGCCCGAGCTGCCGCCCAGAGCTTCAGTCAGGTAAGGGTCCTTTGCTCTTTTGTGGGGGTATGCTCCAAGGGAGCAGATGCAGAGGCAGGGGGCACAAGGAATGTGAGCTCCAGAAGGTTTCTGTGGATGTGTCGGAAAACTTACAAAAGGTCCTTTGCTGTGAATGAATTAAAGAAATGTCAAACTATGAGTGTAGAGTAATACAGAATGGGCAAAATTTTCTTTAGGAATGTCTGTGAATTGCTAATCTTGTATTTCTGTTGTATGATTTTAGCTGCATGAATATGTAAATGAGGATATAGTTACCATACTTACACCTATCTGTGTTATCAGTAAATCAGACAATCTGAATTTTGAGTTTAGCTGGGAAAAAGACACAAGTCTCTATCCTTTAAAAAAAAGTCATGCAATTATTCTTTGAAGTTAATCCTATCAAGGAGCAGTGTAAACTCTTAATCAAGTATATAGAACTAGACTGTAGATTATTGTGATTAGCTTAGGAATACTTACACTTTGTCAAGTCAGATTTTGAAGTATACTCTTAATTGTTTCTTTAAGGCATGTGAGTATTCTTATAATTTCAGTGCACAAATTCATTATCTATAGTTAAAAACAACTTGGTTAAAAGCAGACAGATCTAACACATGGGGTACTCATGCACAGGGGAGTACACATACACATGCACTTGCACAGGCACATATACACACACATACACACACACACACACATACACACACACACACACACACACACACACACACACACACACACATTCTCCTTTGAAAACTTTTATACCACCAAAAAGAAAATCTCGTGTGTGTGTGTGTGTGTGTGTGTGTGTGTGTGTGTGTGTGTGTGTGTGTGTATCATTTTTGTTTTTATGATTTGGATGTATTATATATTACTTATTATATATTCAGTCAATCTACCAGAATTAATATATCCTACGGTTATCTATGGAAGTTTTGAGCATATTTTCAGATGTACAAGAAATTCTGAAGTTATATGCTTTTGATCTTGGAGTGAAGGACCAACAACTCTCAATTTTTTAAATGAGGAGGTTAGTTACTTCTTAGGCACTTATTGAGTACTGCATTTATCAGGAACCCTTCCCAAGTCCTAGGACCCATCACTGAGTTCTGTAAGCCTCTAGCCCATCTCTCTCACTGACTTCTTATTATTCACCCATATGTCTTTCCAATAAAACTGAGAGGTGCTTGAGATCAAGCTCTCCTCCATGTAGCAGTAGGATCTTGAAAGCCATGTGGACCTACACAGTGTATGTAGAGAGGTTAGATTATAATGGCCTCATGTAGCCACTACAGCCATCAAGTGGCATGCATTGTGCATCTCATTTCTTAAAGTGAAGTCATTCTGATAAGTGTATTTTAGAATGACTTCTTTCCTCAAACAATGCTCTGACAGCTGTTGTTTTGTAAATGTTACAGTCATGTGTGCTGGGCTGTAACAAAGTAGGTAAGAGAGAATTATAAAGCAGTTCATGGACTTGAATGTTTGACTCTCTGCCTCCCATGAAAGTTTAATCAGAAAGTGTTACTACATGGTAGGGATGTCACAGCTATGTATTTGGAGTCATCCCAGTTGTAGTTTGAAGACACCAATGAGTGTCAGTGCTCAAGATATAACTTTAGTAGGAGTCAAATGTTGTGGGGTGGAGAGGTGGGATCAAGAAGTCTGAAGACTCAAACTAGACACTGATGGACTAATGAACTTTTCCCAGCAGAGCTGAGATGGGAGTTGGCTGACTCAACTGTAAAAAGCTTACTGGTTATTGGTGATTGGGAGCATGATGAACTCCAGCTGTGTGCTGTATATGAGAAGTTGCTTCGCTGAATACCCCATAGGACTTGTAATTTCAAAGTAACAGCATAGAAATGCTGAACCAGAAAACTAGTAATTTAACCAAACAATTAGTGTTACACTCTTGGAAATAGAGCAGCCAGGTCCCATTTCAAAAACATCTCATTCAGATCCATTGGTTTTACAAAGCCCATGTGATATATTCTTGTCAATATTCTCAATGGTGTTACATCTCTCCTTCAAGCGAGATTAATTTTTTGAATGTCCTGTCGTTAACAAGTGCTACAAGGGCGAGTAAGCCCAAATTGTGGCTAATGGATGATGAGCTGAGTAAGATCAATAATCAACAGAAAAAAGATGTTTTCCCATCTCTCTAAAAAATTGTAATTCTAAAGGTGATATGAACTGTTTCTGTCTTGCTCACAAATGATACCCCAATGTGAATATGAAGCACTGTCATCAATGTTTAAGATTCTGGTGTCAGTTTTTAGAAAGACTCTAGTTTATCCAACCTCCTAAGAGTTTATTGAATGACCACTGCTAATTCTGCAGTGGGCCTTGGGGATGGGTTACACGCTCACTGTATCCTCACAGATCCTCATCGGTCACAGGAGTCACCATCAGACACTTCTTCTGTGTTACTGGCTGGACTTTTTTCCAATGCTAAGGGGAATTCATGAAGTTGAATTGGAGGTCAGCGGATGTACAGCCCACCTCAGCAAATGTCACATCCAGGAAGTGATGTAGCCTGATTTACCCCCAGCCCTCTTTTCTCCACCCCAGAGGCTCTGCTCATCCAAGTTGCACACCTTTCATAGTTTTTAATCAGACTATGTGGATTCCTGCTCCCTATCTGCTTACTTCTTCTAAGCCAACGTCAGCTCTTATAAGCGGTCCTAATCAAATCAAGCTTCCCTCCCTTTTTCTTCATCTGTTACCCTGTTATTGGTTGATTCATGAAGACATTTGTTCTATGCTTGTTTATGGCATGAGCCTGTGTTCTTGGGATGGCGAAGTATAGAAAATAGAGATGGTCCTGATCCTTGGGGACCCTTTATTCTAGCTAGCAGTATGCATGGAAATCAGAAAATCAACACTTCAAATAAGCAATGTGCATAGTATCTCATAAATTAGAAGGTGATGGTCACTGAAGGGAGGAAATGGACACAGAACAGGATGATACTCAGAGAGGAAAATAAAACACTATAGAATTTTGCAGAGGAGACATTTGGGTGAGGACACACAGGAGAGGTATATGGTTATCCAGGGGACGATGAATGTAATGGCCTTCAGGTGGAGTTGTCTGGTATATTGATAAAAACAACACGTAGATCAGGGCAGCTAGAGCAAGGTGTGCAGATTTGTAAAGAGACATAATGGATCATTGGTAGAGCTCATCTTTGAGTAAGGTAGAAGCCAGTAAAGAGTTCTCAGCAGAGCATGATGATATGTAAAAGTGATTGTCCAGTCACTTATTGCTGCATAAGAGGTTCCCATTTGTGTGTTTCAATGAAGAGTGTCATCTACAGAAAATAATTTCTACATCCTCAGTAACTGGCCTAAGGTCCACCAAATTCCACCAGGTTCAGCCATTCACCATAGTAATACCACAGGAGCTTCTAAGTAGGCTGGAGAACAAGGAGTTGGCTAGCTTCTAGGTTTTGCTTGCTTCCTTGCATGTAAAATGCCCTGTATATTACTTGAAATGCTGTACGCACAACTTATGGCATAAAAGAACCACTCTGAAAATGATTTTTTTCTCATGTCTAAACATAAAATAAAATCATCCAGCAAGTCACTCCTAAAAGAAACAAAATAAATGAGAAATATGAAATTATATATCTGAGGATACAACCCTGGAAAAGTGGTATCAGAGCTGAGAGATTTTTTTAAAAAGCCATGCACATGTTTCCTGGAAGGACTGAAATATGCTCTGGCAATCCTGGGGAAATAGCCTGTAGGAAGCTGAGAATCATGTGACAGTTATCTAAAATGAAACCATACAGTAGTGGACATTCTGGAAGAGCAACAAGCTTCTCAAGAGAACAAAATTCTTCATTTCTTTTCAATCTGGCCTATCTGTTTAATGTTATACTGACTTCCCGTCTTGTATGCCCCTGTATATAATGTATCATAATTATGAATATGTCAGTGTTCAGGTCTCCCAGAGGCAGATGAGTACATTGTTGGGACACTGACAAGTATGAGTGGTAGTGGAGTAGACCCTAAAGTCCCATCTGGTGCAGAGTAGGAGAAAGTTTTCAATAATCAGCCATTGTATTGACCCCAGCATGGGAAGGGCTACTCTTGCCTGCTTAATAATAAGACAAATTATCTTGAAGTAATGCTTTGATAGACAAGTTACCAGTACATTTGAAAAACACAGCTTTGCCTAGATGTATGCCATGTAGACTGTACAGAATGCATCCAACATGCAGCATTTAGAGGAGAAAGCATGATGTTTTGTGTATTTTCCTTGGTGGCATATCTGTGGGATACTGCTAGGAGGGTTTTGTTTGTTTTGTGTTTTTTTTTTTTTTCCAGATAGTTTTAAAATGCTTGTTTCTTGTAAATCTGCATTTCTTGTTTGGCTTTCAAGTCTTCTCCCCTGTTTTCCCGTTCTAGCATAAATATGTTTAATCTGGCTTTGACAATGGAAGTGTTTTGTATTGCAGGGAGTGTATGATTGTGTTCCAAGCTAACATTTCCTTTTCTGTGCAAATATTTAGATTATTAAAATTGTACTGACAGGACTTTGTGCTGAAGTGAAAGTTTTATGTGATATATTTTTGCCAGTGTTCATGTAGACTTTAAAAAGATGTTCCACGAAGACATGCTTCCTATATATTATTTATGGTAAATATTTATAGGATCTTTGTGTCATTCTTTTGTGCTTTCTTCTCCACTTTTCTTTCTGTGGGGGCTTATAGAAATGGTTGTACATAAAATACTTACTAGCTATGACCCTATCGAATTTTCATTAAAGGGAGGATAAAGGACAGGAAAAATAAGCATCCAAGGATCCAAAAATTTATAGCATCTTGTTTGTACTAATGACATCTTTAAATCCTAAGGATTTAAGGATTGGAGAATTTGAATACTTAGTATCTCCTGTTTGCATCACAAGGGGCCCGATGGCTCTCAGTATCTCTTATGTGTCCTACCATTCTTCCTTCTCCTCTTCCACATCTTCTTTTTTCATTAATTAA